TTGCCCAATTTTTCGCTTCAAAAAAGTTCAAATCAGAGGTGGCTCCAAACCGGACACGTTTTAGAGTGCCCGTCAAATTCACTCTGGGTCTGAAATTAGGTAATTGCTATCGCTCCACGACGGCCAGTACAGAGTAACAATAAGCCTTGTGTGTGCTTCCATTAGTTTTGATTGGTATGCGGTGCTTTATTGGCGAGAGGCGAGCCGCTGTTTACCTGCGACAAGAAGTTGATTTTTCGAAAGTCGTAAAACTCAAGTCGCAGTGCGAAGCAACACGTCAAAAACTCACCTGCTTGATATGGCGCTTCTGGTCATCGCAGAGCCATGAAATTTTGGCTCGGAGTATAACACATCGTAGTCTCACTGTGACATATGTTTTCTAATCAAAATACCAAGAGAGAAAGTGAATATTGAGTCCGTTCCGGTTTGCAACCGGTGTCCTATTTGAAACCGTCCCCTCTACATGTACATGTACATCGAGGATGCCACTTGTTCTCTGATTGTAATGCTACATGATTGCCAAAGTACCCCGGTCACCACCCCCTGCAATCACAATACCCACTATAGGGCTGAGCAAACAAGACCACTGTGTAATGATTGAGTTTTATTTTTTATTGTAACAAACTTGATTTTGGTTTTTGTTTGAAGTTCTTTATTTTACACATGGATTTTTCTGATTTCTTCTCCAGTGTATTATTTATTGCATTTTAAACCATTGTATTAATTTGCCCGTGAAAGAGCCCGAAAAAACATGTGTAGGTGATATGCTCCGTAGGATGTCAATCCGCGGAGGCACCTCACAACCAGCAGATGGGTTTGATGATAGGATTGCTTTTACTACTTTCATTAGAATGACTACTCAATTATATTATGGGAAGAGATGGCCAATGTCAGATCCGAAAAAAGGACACATCAATAAGATGAAATAGAAAAGAAGACAGACAATCTAACGAGGAAGAAAAACAATCGATTGAACAAGATGTCAGAATAAAACACGCAATGGCAATGTTTCGGGGGGTGGGGGATGGAAGGGTGGCTAAGCCAACAATGGATGAACGCAATGATATCAACTTGCTTAGGATTAGAGGGATTGACAGAGAGGACTGTTCACAACGACAGCCATCCCAACAATATTATTTGCTGTCGGTGTAACGAAAATGTGACACAGCAAGGTGCAAAGGAAAACGAAAAGAGAAAAAGAATATAAGGAAGAGTAGGCGCTAGAATCGAGAAACTAATGCTTGTAACATTCCCACGCATCACAAACCTTAGCAACCTAACCCGACGGCAGAATTATCGAATCCTGAACTGACATACAGACAGGCGTTCTTGTGAGCATGGAGCATCGTTAAACATGCCAGTACCACCATCCATCTCCACACAGTCTTCACCGCCCGGACCCACGTTGTTTGGCTCGCCCTTCAGAAAGTTGTTGATCACAGCGGGCCGCCCAGAGACATCTACGAACCTTCCCTCGGTTTTGAAATCATTGTAGAACAACCAGACACCAGGAACGCCTGTGAATGGGCGGATGAGATTCTCCAGGACAATGAATTCTTGCATGTTGCTTGGACTGGCCAAGTCTCCACCATTCCGTCGGCAGTTTCGGCGCGCTTCTCCACGTGTCATGGGGCGATTCTCGTAGCGGTAGATCAAAAGTCCAGTTCTGGAGTTTCTGCAACATTGGACAGTCATTGACGCTGTTCTTGCCTCGCGCTTGCTCACAGCACTGGAGGTGCTATTGACCTTCTTTGCAGTTGTGTAATCACCTGATGCACGTCGCTCCTCCGCCAGTTGACGTGCCTGATCAATCTCTTCTTCGTCCATGGAGGATAAGTAATCTTCAGCATCGCGCTTACTCTTATCCGCGGTAATGTCGTCAGCCAAAGTCATTGAGACCAGGCACAGAACAAACGTCAGAGCAATGGTAAGACGCATCATGGTTGTGTCACTAGAGGAAAGAATATATTTCTGATAATTAACACAGCTGGCAATAGCGACTGGAGGTTGGAATTGATCAAATGAGGGTTTCGTCTCTGAACTTAGTCAGCTCATCATGGTCCTTTTATACTCGCTTTCGTGAGATCTTTGAGGCGGGCAGGTGCTGACTAGTTACTATACTATAGCTCTTTGTTCCTGTAATATCGCTAAAATGGACAGTTGACGCTGGGGGAGCCGTTGGTTAGAGTAGGGACAAGCCATACGAAAACACGTACATAATGCACACAGTCTTTAGCATGAACTTGTTGAGGGTATGGGAAAAGGAAAAGTCTGTGGAATACAAAATGACTTTCACCACTTTAGTATCTGTCGATTATACTTCACTGCTGATGCAGTGAGACGTCCATCAGAGTCGGGGCGCCGCTGCGGTGAAGACACAATGGCAACTGTTTTTCATTTAAAATACCCGGGAAGGACCAAATATTCTTGGATTGCAATCATTGCTGGTTTCTAGTTACCGAATGTTTGGCCTCGTCAAGCGCTCATGACGTAGGGATATTTCACCTTGTGGCGTTCTTTTCTCATCCTGTCGTAGGCGTTGCCACATTGAAAAGCTGGGTTGGCGGAAGGTATTGGAGCCAATATACTTAGTTATGGCCACGCGGTGTCCGTAAGATCGACGTCTAATTTTTCTTATCCTGCCGCTACTGAGGTTATCCCTCCCAATCATTCAATTTTATACATGTAGGTGTAAAAGCATCACCCACTACCTTGTTAAGGCAAAGTTGGAGAATGCCTGAATAGTTTCAAAGCTGACTACACCCTTCTCCTGCCTACAAACACACGCACACGCAAGCACCCATGCAATCCCTCTCTCACTCTCACACACACGTTGCCCGTGGACGACAAAGAATTTACGACATGCTGGCACCCCGGAACAAAATCAATGGGCATGGATATCTTGACTCCGCTCGTCTCCATTAGCACCGTGAATAGTTTTGAAACTTGGATGCTGAGCAAATAGTGTTCACGCTAAGCGACTTGCCTCGTTGTCGCACTATCTATCTGTATATACTCAATCTGCGGACAGCATGCTGTTTCGTTCTTTTTGAACTCATCAGCGCAGCACAGAGGAAATGAGGCCGAACCTGATAGCAATGGAAATAAAAATTTCCAATCTGTATATATATATATCTCGTTACCTTGGTGGACTGTTCTGTCATAACTGCTAGCATAAGGTTTTTTTTACCTTTATCAAAATGTGAATAGTTTTGAATGTCCCCTATGCCTATGGTATAGTGTTCGGCAAGCTGAGCAATGCTCGTTAAACTTCGATCCTTGATATGAGTGACGTCTTTCTCTAAGAGGTCTGCCATCAGGTAACTTTAAAACGACGAATGGAACATGGAAAATACCAGCCGCGCTCTAACACGCGTGCGCTTCCATTATTGTTCATTTCCGGGTTCCCCAGGTTTGCATGCATAGTACAGTGTGCCTCTCAAGGGTGCAGTGCGTGTCCTGGCCCTGATCTCAACTAGCGTGCTTGTGTAGCCGTCACCACTTAGCACAAGAGCGCTAGTACTAATAGTCTCTTGTACGGGCAAAACCAAAATTTGATCGTGACTGCCACAGGTCGAGTGTGATACCCAGGAGTACGCATTGTTCACATTATGCATAGTGCGAACACGGTGTTTGTACAAGCCACTTGGAACCAGTGGGTGTTCATACAGGAAAATCCAGTTGCATGCCAGGCATGTAAGATGTGGTCCGCATATCCAGAAAATTTGGTGGATAGGGGGGAAATTTGATTTAGGCACCAACCTATTAAAGTGGCATAATTACATGCAGTGAGATGTTACTTGAAAGTAATATTCTAAAGGTCAAGGTATCGATTGCCGCACGGGATGGAGTCCGCCCTGCACACCCAGAAAAACATACATGTACTAGCGGTTAAACATGTACATGTATACGCACATGTAAATGTTTTTTTTTTTTTTTTTTTTTTTTACTAAGGCCACAGCTTCCAATCATGACATGCAAAGCAGCGGTGCAGCATCGCAGGCATGAATCGTGGACGTGGTGACGGGGTCTGATGTGCTCCACCGACCTAGGGTCTCGGCTTCACTGCACAGCAAACGCGTCGAAAGAAAACGGGGGCTAATAAATATCGGGAGATGGGGGAAGAAGAAGAGAAGAAAGAAAGAGAGAGAGAGAGAGAGAGAGAGAGAGAGAGAGAGAGAGAGAGAGAGAGAGAGAGAGAGAGAGAGAGAGAGATAGATAGAGAGAGAGAGAGAGAGAGAGAGAGAGAGAGAGAGAGAGAGAGAGAGAGAGAGAGAGAGAGAGAGAGAGAGAGAGAGAGAGAGCGAGAGAGAGCGAGAGAGAGCGAGAGAGAGCGAGAGAGAGCGAGAGAGAGCGAGAGAGAGCGAGAGAGAGCGAGAGAGAGAGAGAGAGAGAGAGAGAGAGAGAGAGAGAGAGAGAGAGAGAGAGAGAGAGAGAGAGAGAGAGAGAGCGGTAACGCACCATCAGGCACCCCGCTAACGCAAACGCGCATGTGCACAAGGAGATAAGCCGAAGCTGGAATCCAAGCCACTTGTCAATCTAATAATTATTGTGTAGGCTTTCTGGGAGACTGTAATTGCAATTTAAGATGAGTACTTTCCCAATTGGTAATGCGAACATGGCAGCATGCGGTTGAAGACCATTCGCAACCAGCTCTAATCGAACCATACTGCGCCCACTGCACAGCATTCTTTCGGATCTGTGGAGAGTTGGCCGTTCCCAGGGCATTCTAAGACCTGTCACCATAGCATTATTTAAGGATATACTGGCGTCGCCTTTTCGTACTCAGTAAAACGTAGGGTGTCTAAGCCAAAAATACTAAGAGGATCCTGAAGCAGTCGGCACCTCCCCGTTAAAGAGAGTAGCAAGCATACAGTATAAAATGGGCAGCTGAAACAACAGAAACCAAACCAACAGTTGATCCGCATCGATCATATAATTAGTCGATATTGACAAAATTAGCCTTCAGAAAATATTCTCTACTTTCCAGTGAAGTGAATATGATGCGTCTTACCATTCTTCTGGCGTTTGATCTGTGCCTGCTCTCAATGACATTGGCTGGCACAATTTCCTCAGAGGATAGCGGAAGCTATGCTGAGGTTCTCTTTGACTCCCTGGACGAAGAGGAGATTGACAAGGCACATAAATTGGCTGAGGAGACTGCATCGTATGCGAGCAAGAGCCATGCTGAGGAGTACTTGGACAACCTGGACGAAGAAGAGATTGATCAGGCACGTCAAGTGGGTGCGGAAGCACATTCAGCAGGTGCAAAGAAGGCCAACAGCACCTCCAGTGCTATGGGCAAGCGGGAGGCAAGAACAGCTTCAATGACTGCTCAGTGTTGCAGAAACTCCAGAACTGGACTTTTGATCTACCGCTACGAGAGTCGCCCCATGACCCGTGGAGAAGCGCGCCGCAACTGCCGACGGAATGGTGGAGACTTGGCCAGTCCGAGCAACATGCAAGAATTCATTGTCCTAGAGAATCTCATCCGCCCATTCACAGGCGTTCCTGGTGTCTGGTTGTTCTACAATGATTTCAAAACCGAGGGAAGGTTCGTAGATGTCTCTGGGCGGCCCGCTGTGATCAACAACTTTCTGGAGGGCGAGCCAAACAACGTGGGTCCGGACGGTGAAGACTGTGTGGAGATGGATGGTGGTACTGGCATGCTCAACGACGTTCCCTGTTCACAAGAACGCCTGTCTGTCTGTCAGTTCAGGATTCGATAATTCTGCTGTCAGTTTGCCAAGGTTTGTGATGCACGCAATTGTTTGCCACGTGATTTTCTCGATCCTCTACTTCCCCCCCCCCCCCCTCTCTCATTCTCTCTTATTTTTCTTTCTCTCAGTTCTATTTCTTATATTGCTATCTGCAACTTTGTTTCACAGCTTATGTGAATCAAGCATTGTTGACTGCTAGGGTGGTTATGGCCTTTAGCGGTGCATTGCATGTACTTCACTCCATCTGCCATTGGTGAAAAATCATGTCATTAGCGGTCTTTCAGTGCTAGCCTTTACCCCATTCCAGTTCCTCCTGAATTAGAATCAAAGTATTGAAGTTTCTGAGGTTGCATTTCATTGCATTAAAATGTATTGCTTCATGCCCCCCCCCCCCCCCATCCATGTTTGTATTGCCATCCCATGGTTTCTTCGCCGTGTCGTTTGCATTCACCCACGATGTAGTCATTCCAATACCTGCAATCCAATCTGGTCTCTGATTTTGTGTCTTGCGTGCTCCCAGTCAGTTTTTGGTGTGCGTGTGATGTAGACAGTGCTCGTCTTTACTCTGCATGAAAACATAATCGGCTTGGGTGAGACTCGGCTAGAGGCTAAGTGTCCCGCATCCGTATGAATGTCACCACCCATCCTTCAAGGATTTAAGTAACCTTATTTTAAACTCTCTTATTATTGACCCCACAGAAACTTGTGATCTCTAAGCGGTCAATTATAAGCATAATATTGACCGCTTATATTGACCACTTAGTATTGACCACTTAGCCCTCGGCGAGGACTTTAAGCTTTTTCCTCAACTTAGAAAAAAATCAGAACTGAAAGAAGAAAAATCTGAAGTCAAATGTTGGGATTTGAACCCAAACTGTCAGATTCTCAGTCAAAGAACTTGGGGAACATATGTACTACAAATGACAACTGAAAAGTTCTGTTTACAGAGAAGTAATGTCCACTGTAAACGTCATATGAACATACTATGTACTATTACAATAGTATTCATTTCTTCCTATAAACAAAGCTAAAAACAGCGTAGGTATGCTATGTCATGATAAATCTATTACTGCCCTCATAATCGGTGCAATAATAGATACTTAAAAGGTAGTTGCCCATCGGATTACAGTAGGAGCAGGTACGGATTTCCGTGATCCACATTATTGATGTTTGCTGAGATTTGATGAAGACGGAACGCCATTTTAAAATTCGTGTCTCCCAGAACGTTCCCGCGTTTAAATTCACCACCATCTTTGCGCTCTGTGGCCAACCACATACATGTACATGTACATTGTACTTGTACATACACTCATTTGCCCAACTTTCAAAGGCTTACCCTCTGGATATGTAACAAAATGTGTTCCAGAACTCTGTTTAATTACATGCACATGTATTTCATTACAATGTAGGTTGACCCAATGCTGTAGACAGCAAGCTGGTTCGGCCTTTTAAAAGCAGAGCCTCCGGAAGTAATTGGTCCGGTCGTACCATTGTCTTTTACACTTTGTGTATACTGTATAATATGGCGGGAGCGTATGCCCTCCTCAGCTGTACACATGCATTGGTTGCCACAAAGTTGGTCCGGTATTAACCTGACCAACCGGACCGGTGCTGGCGGGCCTGAAGAGTACCCAATTATTAGGTTGATAAAACACATGTCCGTCTACACGCGGCGAGTATCACACGATTTATCCAAAATGTACAGGGTGTACTGGGTGTTAGTGGCCATCATGAATTCACTTCGGGAATGGGCACGATAATTATACTTTTAATACTTTTCTTTACTGTGCTGCTCACAATCCGCTCACGTGAATCACCATGACCATTTCACATCCCAGTGTTTGCAAGTCTAGTGCTGCACAGCACCCAGCGTGGCATTCATTCCCCTGACCGGATTTCTCTACATCTAGAATGTAGCTACAAACTGTCCTGTGACATCTTGAAAATCCATCCTGTCTCACCAACACCTTCAGTTCACGTCTCTTGCCTAGTCGATTCGTGGTGATTATCTTTTTTGGCAGGCTCGTGTATCATTACATTTTGTACTGTACAATGTACACGAATGTCCAATACTTGATCAGGCTGGTACTGTAGCCAACATAATGTTATCTACATGTCAATCTACATGTATGTCAGCAAGCACGGAAAGTAGTGGAGTTGAAGTACCCACAAGTGGTAGATCTCGAAAACTAGCTAGCGGTGCTAGTAGTAGTAGGACTCAAGTAGATAAACATTATTGTACATGCACAGCTAGAGACGTATACATTACTCTAGTCATTATCTAGTCAAGTGCTAACCAATGTTATCCTCTCAATGTACTTTAAGAGAGCATGTCTGAGAATACCAAAGTATGTGTGCAAGTGGATCTCTCCGATTTCGTTCAAAATTTGCAGGTAGGTTGCCTTTGGGGTGTGGATCGACTGTGCAAAGCCCTTGAAAAAGTTTCTGAAGGGAACCTTGAAATTTGCATACCCCTCAAAAATGGCCGAAATATCACATTATTTATGGGTCTAGAAACGAGTCACGCCACAGCGTATACAAACAAGCTATGAACAAAACTACATCAAGCCAACATTGCCTCACCTTAGAAGAGTTCCTGGAGCAGTACCGCTTAGCCACGCCAGCATCCCAGAAGACGAGGTCCATCACCCCCTGACGCCACAAATGATCGTCTTGAAAATAGCCAATTTACAAGCGCTGGCAAAACAGCCAGCTACGTCCTCAATTGGCCAGAACTATACACCGGCAGATAGTAGAACACCTCTTCTAGCGCTGAGGACATGTCCCCCATCTTCCTTTTGGGGTTTTCTTGAAATAAACATTTTTGAATTTTTCCACTCGACCATGCTGAAATACGGCCAAAGTCATACCTGCGCAGGAAAGCTCGCCCCGTCGCGACGTCTCCTCAGCAATTTCTACTCCAACACTACTCCCAAGGCCGCAGAACAAAGTGTAGTTTTGACTCTGACAAGGAAAAGCAGCGGTGATCACTTGTCACTCCAAACGACAAGCTTCTCCTTGCGCCACCAATAATTTTTTGTGCGACTGTTGATGCAAAAGTGACTGAAGGCCTGAGCGCAGTTTTTGAATTTTATTGCAAGATGCACGGTGAAATCACGTGCCTTGTGACGCAAGAATGCCAAGTAGCGTGGCCCATGGCTCACGAGATTTCAGAGTCACCTTCGTCAAGTGCGCTTGTTACTCGCCTTGAACGCCCGTTGGTCTGGAAGTCATCCCACTTGTGTTGTTACTGCGCTCAAGAACACGCTGGGAGTGTTGTAGGCCCACGAACCGGGACTTTCCCTGACCATGTAGGTCGAAGACCAGTGAAATGATGATGAAATCACATTCTTTATGACGTAAGAAATCTCTCATGTAGTTCACGCGACAAGTGCGTGCAGTCAGTGCTACTCGCGTGCCAGTCAACATAGTCCATCGGCCAAGTCTCAAAATCGAAAGTGGTGATGCACTGAGCTTCCAACTAAACGCGACCATACCCAGCACGTAGAGAATAATATATCAGAGAACACTATTCCGTTTGTTGGACGTGCCGAATTCAGTCCAGGGCGTCGATACGAAGCGTTCTTCGTCGCCGAGTTTTTTACTGTGCGCTCCATTTGAGAGTGCGCAGAGTTCTGATCGAGAGTTTTTTGAGCAGATTTTCAAATTTTTGAGGCTGTCAGCTGACAGCTGTCAACCCTAAATGGCACTTAGTATGTGACAGGCAATAGGTTTTGGTGCCTCCGTATGCCTTCTAATAAGTTCTATCTTCCTTCGTTTCAATTCGCTGCTTCGCCCACCACCTCAGGAGGTGACAGCGTACCTGCACTAGTCAGCTCTCGCTAACCCTGTCTCTCTTTCTCCGTCTTAGCGCTCGTCATTCGTGTCCTTCTGCTGGGGCGAGCTTGATACTGTTGTGTCGTAGTTTTTAGGCAATAGTGGCTGTTGTTCGCATGACGATCAGGATTTATGGAGAAAGACGACGACTCGCCAAGTTCCCATGCAGCCACAGACGGCGTAGCAATTCTTACCGCCAACCCTTCGAGCAACGGAACCGGCCTGAGTTGGAAATCGTGTCTGTGTAATTGTGCCACGATACGGATGAAACACACAGGCTCACATGTGACGAGATGAAGATAATCTCAACAGGCTGACAGAAATCCAACAGGCTCACGGGAACGCTGCAGTTATGGTCGGAGACGCGGAGTTATTTAGTCACTGGTAAATGTTGCATCGAGTGCTGTGTGCTCTAACACAATTGTAAAAATCATGAAAAAGCGAAAATAATGCAATGGTGGGGCTGAGTGGTGTTCTTTGGAGGAGACGTCGCTGTCTCAGTATTCAACGCCGGACCCTGTATTTCAACTTCAAGTCTGTGGTCATGCTCGATCATAAGTTCCTGTATGGCTCCAGTGCCTTCTCAGCATTGTTGGCGGGTAAGCACCTGGATCGTGTCCAAGTACTGCGGCTCTGGTGGCTTGAGGGATGTACGGGTGCTCGCCGTGCACCCCTGCCGGCAATCTGCTAGTGAAGCTTGGTACCTACTGTGTCTGGGAGATTTTCATCCAGAAGCTGATCTTCCTAGGCTGGAGCTGCTGCTACTCCTGTGCTAGCCCTCAACCACTGGCGCTCCTACTCGGCTCCAGTGTGGGCCATTAACCACCCTGCCCGATTTCGCACTGTTGCTATTCCACACCGTCAGCATTTAACTCTGAGGTCAGACCTTGATCCCTCCCACCATATGCTATCTGTCTGTCTGCCTCTCTTTCACACACAGATGTGCGCGCATACACACACACACACACATGCACACACAGTGACACAAACATACACATAGCCAACTTCTCTGTGTTTGGTGATCATCATCTGTTTTCTGATGTGCAAGCTCACCTCTGATGCCGATTACTTCCTTGCTTAGACCCGGTCTGCTATTAGACCAGTCTGCTCTCCCTTCACTCGCTTGTAAATCCTACTTGGAGCAATAAGGTTGTGTCACTGCTCCTACTGATGTCATTGTTGTGAAAGCAATATGATCGCCATTGGTGGTAATTTTCCACCGTGCATGAATCATTAACAATCATCATCTATGTGTCACGGCCTAACCATCCTCGTAACTCCCCTCATCGTGACTAGTGCTGTACCGTTGAAACCTACTTTGCTTCAGTGTATATTCGCTCCAAAGCTCTTGTTTTGTTGCATAGTGATCTGACGCAGTGTGCTATAGCCTATCGGGTAATATGGATAAGATTAGTACAGTCGGCATCGCCTATCGAGTGACCAGGTACATGTATAAGGATACTACATGTATACCGGCTTAACGATATCGGAACACAAATAGCACTATGTGTGCAATATTCCTTTCTAAGCTCACGCTGTGCGGTGCAGATAGGTCATGTGTCGTTGCCAACTTGCCGCATGTGCATGTGCAGCAGGAAGACACCACATGTCGACTACTACTTATACTGTACAGCATTGTGTGCTTACATGCATCTACGGCCTTGTGGATGCAATTGAGTCTCACACACATGTACATGAAATATTGCGTGTAGTGCGGCATCAGTTAACATACAGTGGCTAAATATTTTTCTCGCAATAATGACCGTATTCACCACAAGTGTGTTTATGTCCAGAGCCAACTCCAGTCCTGTATTATTTATGACCATGACAACAAGACTTCCGGGCTGAAATTCTTCTATGACAGGCATGAACACTTGCCTTACAATTGTTCGTGATTGTACGAAGTACATATTCGCTGTTGCATCAATTTTGCACCATTTACATTGTAGTGCCACTAGTGGTATCACCTGCATGCGTATTGAGTCAAACAAGGTTACCTCTGTATAATTATGCTTATCGTGGCTATCAAGAGCTTCGATGCAAATTCCCAGCTGACGAATGGTGTCCAGCTTGTGTTCAGCTCAGCTGGCACTCACAACTCATAATAATTGCGTTCTAGACGCCAGATGAGATGTTTCAGCTACAATGTAGACACAACGTCCGTGTTCAAGAAAGCCGTCACTTCATCTTCTGTCCATCCTCAATAGCACGTTCAAGCAAATACATCTGAAACACAGTAGCGACAATCCGACAGCGGCGACACGCCGTCTTCTCCGAATGAGCTTCTACTGTTCTAATTCAGATTCCCCCAAAAATGTCAAAATAAATAATAGATTTCCACCAAGCTCGCTAGAATCTTGCGAACCGTCAACATGCAGGCATTTCAAGTGTTCGAGCGTGCGTAGATTCTGCTCAGCGGCTCAAGAACATTCGCCAAGCGAAAAAAAGTCGATGAGAAAGATGTAATGGTGGACGAAATTACGAAAATCGGAAGAAGGTATTCGACCCAGTTCGACTATCCTGGACTGGATTGGCAACGTCCAACAAACGGATTCGTATTCTATGGGGTCTCATGAGCTAGTGTGCCAAAGGGCGTTTAGTTGGAGCTTCAGTGCATCACCTTCGCCGAAAGAGGCCCTTTCTGAGATTTGGCCGATGGACTAACACAGGGACCGAGCTAGGCGCTTTTGTCGAGCATCGACATGAAAACAAGGGACTTTTACTGTTGGACTATGTTCGGGATTGCAGGAGGTAAGTGTGAAAGACGAATAGCTCTCCATGCTGTACGGGGCATATTTCAACGGCTTGCTGCCATTGCAACACTCCTAGGACAGTTTGTTGGGGTACTCAGCAGTTCAAGCAGGAAATGAAGCTCGTCTTACCTCTGCCATCATGGTCTGTTCCGAGTAGCGTTCCAGGCACTTTCACGATCGTTGGCCGCGTATCGTGATGCAGGAAGCGTCATCCTACGTCACAGAGCACGCGATCTCACCGTGCATCTTGCAATAAAATTCAAAAACTGCGCTCAGGCCTTCAGTCACTTTTGCATCAACAGTCGCACAAAAAATTATTGGTGGCGCAAGGAGAAGCTTGTCGTTTGGAGTGACAAGTGATCACCGCTGCTTTTCCTTGTCAGAGTCAACACTATACTTTGTTCTGCGGCCTCGGGAGTAGTGTTGGAGTAGAAATTGCTGAGGAGACGTCGCGGAGGGGCGAGCTTTCCTGCGCAGGTATGACTTTGGCCGTATTTCAGCATGGTCGAGTGGAAAAATTCAAAAAAGTTTATTTCAATAAAACCCCAAAAGGAAGATGGGAGACATGTCCTCAGCGCTAGAAGAGGTGTTCTACTATCTGCCGGTGTATAGTTCTGGCCAATTGAGGACGTAGCTGGCTGTTTTGCCAGCGCTTGTAAATTGGCTATTTTCAAGACGATCATTTGTGGCGTCAGGGGGTGATGGACCTCGTCTTCTGGGATGCTGGCGTGGCTAAGCGGTACTGCCCCAGGAACTCTTCTAAGGTGAGGCAATGTTGGCTTGATGTAGTTTTGTTCATAGCTTGTTCGTATACAATGTGGCGTGACTCGTTTCTAGACCCATAAATAATGTGATATTTCGGCCATTTTTGAGGGGTATGCAAATTTCAAGGTTCCCTTCAGAAACTTTTTCAAGGGCTTTTCACAGTCGATCCACACCCCAAAGGCAACCTACCTGCAAATTTTGAGCGAAATCGGAGAGATCCACTTGCACACATACTTTGGTATTCTCAGACATGCTCTCTTAAGCACTTTCAGAGCGACACAGTACCAGTAACCCTCCCGTTCCGAGCTACACGTACATGTACATGTACGTGTACAATTTACATGATGTATGTTGGCCAACATACTAAAATTAATGCTTTAAAGCAAAACCAAATGACTATGTACATGTTATCCGTAGTTTACATGTATGTCCACCACTAACAGATTTAAGCAAGATGTTGTGTACTTCTGATTACACAACATCTTGCTTATACATGTAACTGTTAGTGTTGGACATAAACTACGGATAACATGCAACATGTTGGTACTTTCTTTTAAATTTAATCCTTGGCTCTCCCTCCGAGCCTTACATACATGTAAACATGTACATTGTCATGTACTGTTACTCTGCACAAAAAAAACAATAGCAGAGGTGGTTGAAGAGAAAACTAGAACGAGGAGGTGAGAAATAACGAAAGTGAAGATGCACATGTACAATGTACATGTATGCCGTACTCGCCCGATTCGAGCCCTCTCCTGAATAGTGCTCCAGTCACTAAGATCCACTGAAAAAAGAATGCCCTCTCTTGTATAGTCCCCCGCTCCGGCCTTGCAACCATGCGCATGTGCAAATAATTAGTTTGGTGTTCTTTTGCTAATGTTCTTGACTTCTTGTCCATCTCGTTTCACTAGTGGTTTCAGGATCAAAATCTCAGTTCTTTTTGCCATTTCTGTTGAGTCGTGATAGTTTTCAGTACACGTTAGGAACTGTTTTTCTTCGCCTTCCCTGGTTTATGTCGTGGATGACGAAAAATGTTCCACCATAGAAAAATACGTATTGCCCTCTCTAGGGTAGTGCCCTCTCTTGGATAGTGCCCGCTCTTGAATAGTGCCCCATCTGTGATGGACATTGCAAGATAGTGCCCCAAGGGCACTAGTGCGCAAGAGAGATTTTCCTCTTCGCCCACTTCTGTTATTAGTTCACACTTACTTGAATCTCTCATACTTCACCTTCGTTTCTCCTATTTTATTTCATGCTGTATACTCCCTGTACACACAAAGCCCTGTGAAAACTTTCGGTTGCCTGGAATCAATGGTCGGACAGGGTCGATAAACAGCCAGCACATTTGCACCTACACGATTGTACGCATCGTAAAAGGCGTACATGAACTTGATGCCCTCACCATACACTCACACAGCAAACCAGCCAGAATGCGTTGGTACTGAACACTATCATCTACTTGCAAGCACATTGAGATGACCAGAGTGTGTGTGTGTGTAGGACACGTGAGTATGTAACAGAGAGAGGCTAGGAATATGGAGTAAAAGGGCAAGAAGGGGAACTATAGAGAAAGATGAGATGGTATGGTGGTTGGCCTGGGTTTCTATAGCTCAGAAGGTAAAACTCATGGACAAAAGCTGCAACCAAGCTGGAGTGCTAAGCATGCAGTGAAACAGTATGCGTCGTTCTGCAGTAAGATCGGAAGAAACCTGTAACACTCTACCTGAGTAGAATATTCACATACCTCAGCACTCGGTTTACGATCCACAGTACATCCGTACATGTAAGCCCAGATTACCAATTTGTTTAGCCAGTGAATACAGACCTCGGGGAGAGAACGATACTTTCAAACTCGTGCAGACCAGTCAGCATAGCTGCTACCACCACAGCTAGTACTAGCAACATTATGCATGTACAGGAGTTATAATTTTAGGATTTACTTAATCCTGAACTCGCAGACAGAATGACGATCCTCCTTGCAGCCAACGTCGTTGAACTTCCCTGTGCGCCCGTTCATTTCCACGCAGTCTTCGTCACCATCAGCGTCATTCGGCTCACCCTCCTCAAAGTTACTGACCCAAGGGGGATTTCCACGGCTATCGACAAATGTTCCCTCCGCTCTCTTATCGTTGTACTGCAAGAAGACTCCACCCTTTTCAGCGAATGGCAGGATTAACTTCGCCAAGGCGAGGAATTCTTGCATGTTGCGGGGACCGGCCAGATCTCCGCCGTTTCGCAGGCAGTTGACGCGGGCCGCTTGCTGGGTCAAACGGCGATTCTCGTAGCGGTAGATCAGAAGTCCGCTCTCTTGGCTTCTGCAGCATTCCAGCGTCATTTGATCTGTTCTTGGCTCGCGCCTCTGCATGGCATTTGAAGTGCTGTTGACTTTCTTCGCAATAGTTTGGCCGATGGCTGCACGACGTGCCTCCGCCTGCTGGCGCGCCTGATCAATCTCATCTTCATCCAGGGAGTCCAAGAACAGTTCAGCATAGCGCTTGCTCTTTTTCTTCGAGGTGATCTCGGCAGCCAGAGTCATGCAGACCAGGCACAGTACACACGCCAAAGTAAGACGAATCATGTTTCCCGCACTGGCTGGATCGACGTCGCAGATTAGTGGGCTAGCAGTGCTGTCTGCGTCGTTGCTTTTAGATGAGAGGTATAAAACGAAAACAGAATTGTGGTCGAACTGCTGTTACATCGGCTTTCCACTCCCCTTTTATATCCATGACAGGATGCAGTTGGCAACAATACAGCTTCATGCCGTTGTCGAAACGGTGTAGGCCTCTGACCTGCAAATTGTCCAGTCGGATGTGTAGAACACGTTCAGATGTCGTGCAATCTGAAAAAAAACTATGACGAGCTCTGAATTGAGTATGGTAGTGCATTGTCTGGGGCCCAAAGGGCACTATAGTTGCGAGCCACGGTGAACCTCCACTTACAATACATGAGTATCAAACCAAGTACCCGTTTTGCAGTGAAGAAAGAGCTATGCGGTGACGTGGACGACATGTTTCAGCTCAAAACAACTGTGCCGAGATGTACATGTTTACTTCCAGTGATGGCAGTAAATTGTCTCCGGGCCGAGGGCCACCGGTTCCCAGCCACGTGTATCATTCACTCGCAATACTGCAGTATCACATCAAGTGGGCATTCTGCGGTGAAGGAGGAGCCAGGATGTGAACGGCAAGTCCATTCGTAGAATCTGCTTTTACGTTCACGTGTTTATCGAGGCGCCTGTCATTAATTTTGTGCACGTACGAAAGCAGGATGAGAATACAACGAATTGTTCGAAAGCCAGTAACTAGTTTATACAAGCAATTTCCTCAGTGAGAAATATTGATACCGTGTATGAGGTTAAAGAGGTCATTGGGAATCGCGGTACTCACCAGAGCGGTTACTGTATGCCATTGGAACTAGCTAGTCGGTTAAAACAACCAATCGTTTCAAGGGCTCACCATCATTGTTGCTGCCATATCAAATATCTAAGATGTACTGGGGATAATTTTATTTTACTCGATGGTCGCATTTCAATGAGTGGCATCTACTGCTTACACAGCTGCATAATGCCGTTTATTATTATTATTTTTAAATTTTACTCTTATCATTTTTTTCGGCAACGCAGATGATGATGATGATGATGATGTAAAATATTTGGCGTAAAAGTTAATAACACCTAAGCAGAATATCGTCCCTATTGGGGAGTTGCAACATACCAGTATAATATGATATTGGATAGTCATACTTGTAGTCCTCAACGTACATGCAGAAGAATCTTACTTCTACGTAATGTTAACACCATTAATGGCTTTCTCTTTTACTTAGAATGGTTTACAATCTGTATCACAATTATTTGTGGGTTCAGCAATAAAGGACGTGTGACGTTTTGTGCATGTGTTTAATGTTAACACCAGTGAATACTTTGTATTGTGACGCTCTGTATCCTAGCCTCACGCTGCAACAACAGTGTGGCGATTGTTTGCCAGTGGCTCTATGCATGTTGTGCACTCTCATGATCAGAAAGTCTGGGTCTAGACACGGTTAAGAAGGAGAGTTGTGTAAATTTGTATTTAGTTGTGTTATATTTTTGTAATACCAGGAGTCAACACGCCTAATAGAAATGGACTTACTAGGGAATACCAAATTAGAGTACAGAACTACACAACAGTGATACCCCTTGCCAACCTCTAACTTTCTGTCGTTCTTCTGCTCTTTTCTCCCGCACTACTGAGTGCTGACACAATCATTTTGATTATGACAGATAATCATTATGACAGATAATCATTATGACTGTAATGTAACCTCCCCCCCCCCCCCCCCGCCTACCCTTCGCTATCATATTATTCAGTAATGATCCCGTTTGACTTTGCGTAAAATAGAGAATAGAAGAAACATACAACAAATGATCAAAATAGTGCTGAATGGCAGAGAATAGCAAAGTTGTTTCAATCCAGTGAGTTATGGAAGCCCCACAGCAGTACGTAGCGTGAGATTTAAAGTCAAACTACCTTTTTGAACAATTTGCTTGTGACAGTAACTTTAATTTACCCCGTATCCTGTGGCTTGGAATGTGACGTGAAAGTGCCCTTGGAATGTGACGTGAAAGTGCCCTTGCACTCCCGAGAAGTGGGCACTTACATGTAGATGTACACACAATAAGAGGACAGAGAACGTGTTTTCACTCCGAGTTTCACGCACTAAGCGTTCATCAGAAAACATGTACATGTACATATACATGTACACGTAATTCTGTAGGTGTCCCATAAGAACAGGTGGCAAATGGTCTAAGCGATAAAGCAAATAGGGAAATATGGGAAAGGAGATAGGAGAGTACATGCAACATGGCACTCCACTATCCTATTCTGGTCAGTCGGAAACAATGCAACATAAACGTGTTCTGGTGTTGTTATTATACTAGCTTTCTTACTTGAAGCTATTTGAGATGCGACTTGTCAGCAAGGTCTACTGGTCTGGATACGTGCTATCTGTTTGCCATACACCCGATGACGATTTTTTGAAAGCATCCAGCATCGACCATGCTAAGTACTGTAATTTTGCAATGACCTCATCAACCTCATACATAGTATCAGTTCTTTGTGCCGAGAAAAATGCCTTTTGAAAACTATTTGCTGATATATTGGACTAATACGTTGTATTCCCCTCCGTTAACCTTGATCGTGTGTCTCCACTGGTCCATAATACGTAGTTGCTTCAATGTACAATGTACTTGTATGTGTGATTCAAATAAGGGCTCTTAGTGAAAAGGAACTTCATGTCTCGGCTCCTCCTCCGCCCCAAAATGCCCACTTGGCTTGATACGGTAGTATTGCGAGTGAACCTTCCACCTGGCCCGCCAATAGAGTCCTCTGGAACCCAAGAATATGCACTATCACCTCATGTAGGCAACATGGAGCTCGTCACAGATGTGTTTCACATTGCATTGTCACTGAAGTAATGCATATTGCATAGCCCACCAGACGATGAACCCGCATTTTGTGCTAGAAAAGCGTTGAGCTGGGCAATCTCCAACGGAAACCTACCGAGAATATAAAAGGAGAGCTGAAAGCCACTGTGGTGACAGAAAGAAACCAAGTCAGCCACTTTTCTACCCGCGTGTGACGCTTATTTGAAACCTGCGAGGCAAATAAGAGTTTGCCATCACGACTTGCAACGTTGAACCACGGCTGGCAACATGATTCGTCTTTCTTTGGCGTGTGTATTGTGCCTGGTCTGCATGACTCTGGCTGCCGAGATTACTTCCAAGAAGAGCAAGCGCCATGCCGAAGAATTCTTGGACTCCCTGGAAGAAGATGAGACTAATCTTGCACGTCGGCTGGCCGAGGCACGACGGGCCGCTGGTTCTGCTACTGCCAAGAAAGCCAACCACACCGCTATGGCGATGGGGAGGCGGGAGGCAGTTCTAACTTCTCCGGTTGCCGAATGTTGCAAGGGTCAAGAAAATGGTTTGGTCATCTACTTGTACGTGAAGCGCCCGTTGAACAGGCAGGCGGCCCGCCTCAACTGCCAACGGTTCAAGGGAGATCTAGCCGGCCCGCGAAACATGCAGGAATTCATCGCCATGGAGAATTTTCTCCGTCCCGTGGCAACAGGAGGATGCTTCTTGCAATATAACGACATCAAAACGGAGGGGAAATTTGTTGATAGCCGCGATAAATATGCTGTGATCAATAACTTTGAGGTGGGCGAACCGAACAACGTTGGACCGACCGGCGAAGATTGTGTGGAAATTACACCGAGCACAGGTATGTTCAACGACGTTGGCTGCCAGGAGGAGCGCCAATCTGTGTGCGAGTTTAGGATTGAATAGATCCCAAAGTTGGACTCCTGTGCATGCATATGCTGCTAGCACATGTAATAGCAGTCGTATTAGCCCTTTTGCTGCCCGGTCTGCACCAGTTTGAAAGCATTGTTCTCACCCGAAGTCTGTTTTCACTAGCTCAACAAACTCGTAATTATTTGCGCTTACATGTACTGCTGTGCTATGGTTCGTAAACCGAATGCTGAGGTGCGTTAGTGTTCGAATCAGGAACCATGTCAGCGCTTTGTTCCGTTCTTTTTGCAGAATGAAGCATGATGCTTCACTGCATGCTTAGTACTCCAGCTTAGTTCTAGCTTCCCGCCGGTGAGTGTTGCGTTGTGAGATATATAACTCCTCGTGCTACCACTCGGGCCAGATAACACCATCTTTTCTTTCTCTATCCGTCACCTCCTTGCCTCTTTTCTACATACTCTTAAAACCGTTCTAATACGCATGTGACCTCCACGCGCATTGGTCATCTCAATTGTCTTGCAAGTAGGTAGTAGTGTTCAGTACCCACACATTCTGGCTGGTTTGCTGTGTGTGTGAGTGGAGGAGTGTATCAAGAAGTATGGCGGCAACAATCTGGTTGAAAGGAGCTCATACAGCCCGTCATAATACCTTGCGTTGAATAATGTCAACCTGGTCCCTTTCACCTGGTCCTGATTCGGTGACTGCATTCACAATGTCAAGAACAGTAAAACCTGTAACTAACGACCACCCCTTGGGGCCAGAGAAAGCGGACTTTAGTGGCAGCAGGTCCTTAGTTAAAGGTTTGCAACGCACAACCAAAATGAGACCGTCCGTGCCTGGCGGAGTGGTCTGTAGTACCAGGCTGGTTGCTTGTTACGGTGGTCTTTAGTAACAGGTTTTACTGTAGTACCAGGCTGGTCGCTAGTCACGGTGGTCTTTAGTTACAGGTTTTACTGCACCTCTACTATCCTGTCCGGACACCTGACAAGTTCGTCTTTGTTTCCCTCGTGGTCTTATTCATTTGGGTCGACGTTTCCTTTGGTCCATACACAAGTACATGTAACGTCGAATTTAGAGAAGAGAAGAAGAGGGAAACACAACAGACAGTGCAGTAAAATCCGATCGAGTGAATCAACTGCACCCTACATGGCCACTAGGTCACATCCAAATGTTCGCAGGCCCAGTAGACCTGCACAGCATTCGGTGCGTACTTGACTAACTTGAGAAACGTTATTCACTAGTTGTTGCGATATTAAAATAATGTCTAGGATGTATTGAAGATGACTTTATTTTCCTCATTGGTCGCATTTCGATGAGTTTTACGCAAAATATTTGGCGTAAAAGTGAATAAAACCTAAGCAGAATATGTTCTCTGTTGGGGAGTTGCAACATACCAGTATATGATATTGGATAGTCATAGTCCTCAACGTACATGTAGAAGAATCTTACTTCTACACGTATGTAATGTTAACACCATTAATGGCTTTCTCTTTTACCTCGAATGGCTTACAATCTGTATCACAATTATTTGTGGGTTCAGCAAAAAAGGACGTGTGACGTTTTGTGCATGTGTGTAATGTTAACACCAGTGAATACTTTGTATTGTGACGCTCTGCATCCTAGCCTCACGCTGCAACAATAGTGTGGCGATCGTTTGCCAGTGGCTCTATGCATGTTGTGCACTGTCATAATGAGAAAGTCTGGGTCTAGACACGGTGAAGAAGGAGAGTTGTGTAAATTTGAATTTAGTTGTGTTATATTTTTGTAATACTAGGAGTCAACACGCCTAATAACAATGGACTCACTAGGAAAAAAACACAAAATGGTGCTGGTAGAGAATAACAAAGTTGTATCAATCCAGTGAGTTATGGAAGACTTACTGTAGTACGTAGCTCGAGATTTAAAGTCACATTACCTTCGGTTTTTTACGGTAACATTAACCCGAATCTTATGGCTTGTAATATGACGTGGAAGTGCCCATGCACTATCGAGAACGAGGCACTTACATGTATGTGGAATTGTGTAGGTGCCCAAGAATAGGTGGCAAACCGAGGGATAGAGCAAAATGGGATATATGGGAAAGGAGATAAGAGAGTACAATCATGCTGCATGGCGCTACACTATCCTCTTCTGGTCTGTCGGAAACACCGCAACACAAACACGTTCTGGTGTTGTTATTACACTAGCTTTCTTACTTGAAGCTCTTTGAGATGCGACTTGTCAGCAAGGTCTACTGTCCGGAATACGTGCTATCTGTTTGCCATACACCCGGTGACGAATCTTTATAACAATTCTATGCTTCGATCAAGGAGCTGGTTACCATAGCATCCAGAAACGACCATGCTAAGAACTGTGATTTTACAATGACCTCATCAACCTCATACATAGTATCAGTTCTTTGTGCCGAGAAAAATGCCTTTTGACAACTATTTGCTGGCACCTTGGTCTAATACGTTGTATTCCCCTCCGTGTACCTAGATCGTGTGTCGCCGCTGTTCCATACACATGTACGTGCGGCATAATACGTAGTTGCTTCAATGTACAATGTACTTGTATATGTGATTCAAATAATGGCTCTTACGGAAAAGGAAGTTCATGTCTCGGCTCCTCCTCCGTCCCAAAATGCCCACTTGGCTTGATACGGTAGTATTGCGAGTGAACCTTCCACCTGGCTCGCCACTAGAGTCCTCTGGAATCCAAGACGGTGCACTATCATCTCATGTAGGCAATATGGAGCTCGTCACAGTTGTGTTTCACATAGCATTGTCACTCAAGTAATGCATATTGCATAGCCCACCAGACAATAGACCTGCACTTTGCGCTAGAACAGCGTTGACCTGGGCAATCTCCAACGGAAACCTAGTGAGAATATAAAAGGGGAGCTTAACGCCACTGTGGTGACAGAAAGAAACCAAGTCAGCCACTGTTCTACCCGCGTGTGACGCTTATTTGAAACCTGCGAGGCAAATAAGAGTTTGCCATCACGACTTGCAACGTTGAACCACGGCTGGCAACATGATTCGTCTTTCTTTAGCGTGTGTATTGTGCCTGGTCTGCATGACTCTGGCTGCCGAGATTACTTCCGAGAAGAGCAAGCGCCATGCCGAAGAATTCTTGGACTCCCTGGAAGAAGATGAGACTAATCTTGCACGTCGGCTGGCCGAGGCACGACGGGCAGCTGGTTCTGCTACTGCCAAGAAAGTCAACCACACCGCAATGGCGATGGGGAGGCGGGAGGCAGTTGTTACTTCTCCGGTTGCCGAATGTTGCAAGGGTCAAGAAAATGGTTTGGTCATCTACCTGTACGTGAAGCGCCCGTTGAACAGGCAGGCGGCCCGCCTCAACTGCCAACGGTTCGGCGGAGATCTAGCCGGCCCACGAAACATGCAGGAATACATCGCCATGGGGAATTTCCTCCGTCCCGTGGCAACAGGAAGCTGCTTCTTGCAATATAACGACATCAAAACGGAGGGGAAATTTGTTGATAGCCGTGATCAGTATGCTGCGATCAATAACTTTGAGGAGGGCGAACCGAACAACGCGGCCCCGACCGGCGAAGATTGTGTGGAAATTACACCGAGCACAGGTATGTTCAACGACGTTGGCTGCCAGGAGGAGCGCCAATCCGTCTGCGAGTATAGGATTAAATAGATCCCAAACGTTTGACTCCTGTGCACGCATGTGCTGCTAGTAATAGCTGCCGTATTAGCCGTTATGCTGCCTGGTGTGCACCAGTTTGAAGTATTGTTCTCACCCGAGGTCTCTGTTCAAGAGCTCAACAAACTCGTAATTATTTGCGCTTACATGTACTGCTGTGCTATGGTTCGTAAACCGAGTGCTGAGGTGCGTTTGTGTTCGACTCAGGAACCATATCAGCGGTTTGTTCCGTTCTTTTTTTGCAGAATGAAGCATGATGCTTCACTGCATGCTTGGTTCTCCAGCTTAGTTCTAGCTTACCGCCGATGAGTGTTGCGTTCTGAGTTATATTACTCCTCGTGCTACCACCCGGGCCAGCCAACATACCATCTTTTCTTTCTCTATCAGCCACCTCCGTGCCTCTTTTCTACATACTCTTAAAACCTTTCTCCGTTAAATACGCATGTGACCTCCACGTTCATTGGTCATCTCAATTGTCTTGCAAGTAGATAGTAGTGTTCAGTCAGTACCCACACATTCTGGCTGGTTTGCTGTGTGGGTGTGTGTGAGTGGAGGAGTGTGTCAAGAAGTATGGCGGCAAAACTCTGGTGGAAAGGAGCGCATACAGCCCGTCATAATACCTTACCTTGTAATGTCAATCTAGTCATTTTCATCTGGTCCTGATTCGGTGACTTCATTCACAAGTACAATAAAACCTGTAACTAACGACCACCCCTTGATGCCAGAAAAAGCGGGCTTTAGTGGCAGCTGGTCCTTAGTTAAAGGTTTGCACCGCACAACCAAAATGAGACCGTCCGTGCCTGGCGAAGTGGTCTGTAGTACCAGGCTGGTCGCTAGTCACGGTGGTCTTTAGTTACAGGTTTTACTGTAGTACGAGGCTGGTCGCTAGTCACGGTGGTCTTTAGTTACAGGTTTTACTGTAGTACCAGGCTGGTCGCTAGTCACGGTGGTCTTTAGTTACAGGTTTTACTGTAGTACCAGGCTGGCCGCTAGTCACGGTGGTCTTTAGTTACAGGTTTTACTGTAGTACCAGGCTGGTCGCTAATCACGGTGGTCTTTAGTTACAGGTTTTACTGTAGTACCAGGCTGGTCGCTAATCACGGTGGTCTTTAGTTACAGGTTTTACTGTAGTACCAGGCTGGTCGCTAGTCACGGTGGTCTTTAGTTACAGGTTTTACTGTAGTACCAGGCTGGTCGCTAGTCACGGTGGTCTTTAGTAACAGGTTTTACTGTACCTATACTATCCTGTCCTGACAAGTTCGTCTCTGTTCCCCTCGTGGTCTTATTCATTTGGGTCGATGTTTCCTTCCGTGCATATACATGTACATAATTATGGCTGGTAGCTCGGCCTATTTAGCTCGTAGCTGCACTGATGATGCCTTTATGGCCGAAACAGCTTGCTGTCTACAGCATTGGGTAATTATACATGTATATGTAACTTCGAATTTAGAGAAGACAAGACATGTACTTGAAGTACAGGTAACGTCGAGTTTAGAGAAGACAAGAAGAGGGAAACACAACAGACAGTGCAGTAAAATCCGATCGAGTGAATCAACTGCACCCTGCATGGCCACTAGGTCACATCCAAATGTTCGCAGGCCCAGTAGACCTGCACAGCATTCGGTGCGTACTTGACTAACACGATCGGATTGATTTTACTGGGCATCATTGCAGGAAGCCGAGCGTTGGATTTAAATTTGCGATATAGGGCTTGATAAATGCGTCGCCTGAAGTACATGTACAATATATGTACATGTATGTTCGATTCTTTTTCGCGTTGAGGCATTTGAGGGTTGTGTAATAGAATTGCTTTCACCGCTCGATGTTCACCAGCTTTATCAGGTCATTGTCGGTAGTAGAGTTCCGAACACACAGCACTTGCCCAGTTGAATGAGTATCTACTTGAGGTCTGTAGGCATTGCTATCTGGCTTTGGAGACCGACCACTTCTAGGCACTTGCTAACAAAGATGACACCAAGTGTAATGCAGCAGTAACAAAATAATATTCCAATATTTTGTACACAGGGCGAACCAACAAAATCATTTCTAGGGCGCACTTATAACATGATTGTTGAACAATACATTGTAGAGCTTGCAGTCTTGTGATAATAGATGATATGCCAAATAAGCGCTCGAAAAGTTGAGAGGGCATGCGATTGATGCGCCCAGGCTTAGCTTGTCAAGTGCACGGGATGTGCAAAGTACACGGATTTTAGGCTTGTTGCGCGCTTACGCGATCAGGTGCTGTACGTGCATGAATGGAATGCACGCAGTTCCACTGTTACCGCATTTTAGCATTCCGTCGGAGAAAATTTTCGGATGGAGAAAAGGAACTCTGACACCTTTTTGCATAGTTTGCTTTCAATTTTTCATTTTGATACCCGGATATGGCAGCAAGAAATAGTACACCAGCAATTGCTTCTCGTTTTGCGAACCCACCTGTGGGCGAAACGATTGCTAGATGGACTTTTGCTCAGCTGAAGACTTACGTGAGGGAGAGATACCGGTAGATGGAAAGTGAGATGATTTGTTGCAGAGGTAAGACCGAAAGATTTTATTTTATTCCCAACGCCCCAGAGCCTAGGACAGGGGACAATGATGGCAGTCGGCACCGAGCAGCGAAAGGGCGATGAAAATCCGTTCCTCCTTCACTGGTCGCTACAGCAGCGAATACCTTGACACCATCTGCATCGGGAACAGAAGAAGCTGCTTCTCCGGTGAATCCATCAAATCATAGATGCTGCTCAACAAACAGACCCAGAATTTCCCGCTGAAGCCTGGACCCATCGCTCGGAGGATTAGCTATGTGGTGTTTCTGCTAGTGCTGTACTCCAGCATCTTCAGAATCGAGAAAGGTACCTAACGACACAGAAACCATTCGGGGATGAGTCCTTCTTCTCGCCATTCGTTTAAAGTGTTGAGTGTTGCTTCCCAGAGCCAAATAATTCTGGACCGCAGAGATACTTTGTCAAGGCTAAGTGTTGGGCATCTCAAAAGAAGAAGAAGGAGAGCTAAGTGTGTGCTACAGTGCTAAACTAGAGAAAAGCATGTACTCGAAGTGATGTCGTCTGCATATTGCACTTGTACTGCAGCATTGCATGCTCCTTCCACAACATAGTCATTGTTGCATTGCTGCTGACCATCGGCCTCAATTATTGTGAGATGAAAGGTCAATACCTGGCATATGCAACCTAGCAACAACAGCAATGGGGCCCAAGGGCCAAGGAACGTAGTTATGAAAACCCCTTATCAACCACCTGGGTATACTGACACTGGCAACATTGATTTGCCTTTGTACTGGGAAATCCCGCCTTCCTTATCCCACATCACAGAGAAGGTGCTCCTAACAGAGGTAATAGCAATAGAGCGCCGTACCCAACAGCAGATTGGCAGCGGCATATGGCATAGGCTGAGAAGCAAGACCCTGACTGCTTCGCGGTTTCACCTCATCCCTCACCCGAGTGAGATCACATCAGCGTTTCTTCCGTCATTGCTCCAGGCAACCAGTTTCTCATGTGCTTTCGCTATTAGTCAGGGCCAGCACAAATAGGAGTTGTTCTATTTGTATTGTATTTATTATTTTACTAGGGCAATCCCTGCAGACAATATGCCTTTTTACAGGGTGCTCGAGGTAAGTGGGTAAAAAAAGTTGAATGAAAAACCGAGGCTGCATACTACGCCATTACGTATTGCAAAAGAGGTTACGTAGAAGGTTGTTATAACATAACAGCCTTCTACGCAGCCTCTGCGGCATGACGAAGGAGGCTGCCTAGCAGCACCCCGATGGAAGAAAACACCAGCTATCAGAGACCAGGTACCTGTATGTTTTGCAAAGAGAAGCCATGTCGTGAAGAAGCATTAGGTAAGGCTAAAGCGAGGGTGTTCTATCCCCTGGTCAAGGCTTCCGTAGCCAGCGTAGGGTGAATATTTGACCTAAAAACAAAGGAAACTCTGCAAAGAGGGGGCTGTGGCGGCCATGCACACATTTATAAAACAAGGCAGAAAGAAGGCGAAATAATTATTATAAGGTTATAATGGATGGCGACTGGAATATTTTGTGGCGGTGACAAATGGCGGCTGCTGGGTAGCCAAAAGTTTTAAAATGTTATCTTGAGACTCCGCTTGAAACGTTTAATGAGTGTGTTGTGCAAGGTTACTGATATGATGCCTTGTCTTTGAATCTGGATACTAGAACTCCAAACATGCGACTGTTAGTCATTTCGCTCAATCTTGCTACTTTATTCTTGCAGTCACCCAGATTGCATTGAATACTGTCAAATGCTTCCTCCAGCGTAGGGACAGTATGCCTGGCTGGGATATCACTAGGTATGAGTCGTATGTCTTCCGGCAGCTCCTGTGCAGTGGCTCGCGACACGAGGTAAAGCGACGCCGGTTAGCACCAGCCGCTGTTGTCTTGGTGGACCAGATTGAAAACTCCAGATACAAAATGTTTTACCAGTCTTGCTCTGGCGATTTTCTCCCCTTGTACATAATCTTCTGGCAAGAAATGGTCAGATCACACCACTGTAGTGTCACCTTTTTTTTTACTCTCCTTCTCTTTCCTCCCTTCGAATAGCAACAGTCCATTTCCTTCACAGTTCAGGATGACGGAAATTTATGGAAAAGACGAATGCCATTTGCTGGGGCCGGGGAGTACCGCGCGGTCACCAGCACATCCTGGAACACAGCAATGGCCGTGGTTGGTCGGCATCCGAAAACAAGACAGCGAAAAATCACTCCAGCCGCTATAAAGCAAGCAGAACTGTTTCTTCTATCCAGATTTACAGCTTTAATTGTTCAGTAATCTCAACGTCGAAGGAAGTGCTAAAACTAGTAACGGTGGAACTGCATGCATTCCATTCATGCAGATGCAGCACCTGATCACATAAGCACGCGACAAGCCTAAAATCCGTGTACTTTGCACATCCCGTGCACTTGACAAGCTAAGCCTGGGAGCATCAATCGCATGCCCTCTCAACTTTTCGAGGGCTTATTTGGCATAATTATCATCTATTGTAAGTGGCTGTGTCTGCCATACATGTATGAACGTAACATACATTACAATCATCCCTCACACAAGACACCAATACCTTTCTCGTGACTCCGAGTTGTAAGGGTATTGAGTACCATTTTCCAGCAAGCTCCTCGGGTACTTTGTCTGCAATCAGGCCTACAAAACAAACGGTATTCTGCACTATACATGTACATGCCGGTGAAAAAGTGGCCATCCCCATCCCTAGTGAAATGGGTTCACCAGGGCACACATTTCAGCGTTCTTGGATTAAATCTTCAAATACATGAACATCCAGCCAGTCTCATCGGACCCAATTGTACCTTACTAAAGTAACGTCGCATGGCTACGGGAATTTTTGGTTCTGTTCCGATTTTGTAGTGGCGTAACAGTCCTGAAACTAAGATGACATATCCGATGCAAAGAGATAAGAGTTCGTTGTACAGGGGGTTTACGACTCCCTGATGTTATAGCCAGGAAACCGTGCACTGAAGTTTCGCTGCACGTACAACTTCAAGTACAAGAGAACCTAGTGAAAGAGCATATCACTGACTGGAACAGCCACGACTGAACCCGAACATTTCTTGTCCAAATTTTGCCATAAACTACTGGCAATATGGCACTTTGCTCGAATTAATGTTGACGCAGCGTGACTTTCAGAGTAGCAACATAGTTACACAGCTTCCTCACTCTCCATTGCATTAAGGTGGTTGGCAATCACCCACTCTCTTCACATTGGCCGGTGTTTCCACCGAGTCTTGAGATGTTGTAATAAATATAAAAAGGCGACTGTTGGGACATTTGGCGAAATAATGTAAACACAGGCGGAAAAGGAAACGTACTTCAAATGAAATCATGAAGGTTTTTTTGGTTTAGGTTTGACATTCTTTATTTTTACACATGCATTTTAGTGATTTCTTCTCCAATGGACAATGTATGATTTATTGCATTTTTAAACCATTGTGTTAATTTCCCGTAAAAGAGGCCTAAAAAACCTACTATAGCGCGAGCAGCAGATAAGGACGCACAGACTGGCAATTGTTACATAATTCATGTTCTTTTAAATACCTGCCTAGTGCCTGATGATCTGATGAAGATCGCCTGATCGCCTGTTGATCGTAGTAATGCGTGAAAATCAAAGTTGCGACACAGCTTCCAATCTCTCTTGTGTACCTTTAAATACGCGTATGTAAGAAAGAAGACTAAAACACGTTACAACAGTGGAGCCATGCTAGTTTGGTGCACCTCTGTGTTTCATACTCGGCACTATCATCAGCACTATCATCAGTGCAATCACGGGGAAAGCCTCTTACACGGGCAAAGAAAATGTGCTTGCGTATGACACAATATCTCAATACACATGGTTTTGATCGAAACACCAACAAGAATACCAAGAATTTGATTCGTCATTGCAATCATCAGGCAACGCGGAATCCCAGCACTCTCCGTATCCTAGGTGCATCCATTGGTCGGAAAGAGGAGACAGAGCATAGGCAGGGTTCAATGAACTGGTGCATGCGACCAATGATTAAACTGTTGCCAATACCGCGTGCTGGCATGCATCTGTTATTCTATTTGTTGGACCAGGATGTGAGGAAATAATTATTATACATGTGAGATTTCAACATTATTCCACAAATATAAGTTACACAATGGTGCCCACAATGACATATCTGCACCAGCGTCACTCGAAACATCTCCGATATTAGGCTCGGTTTAGAAAAAGCTGGTCACTAGTGCTTGTTTTCTTCGTATTTCAGCCTAAGTTGCATAAAGACCGCCACAAATATCCTGTATTGTCCCAGGCATGACTATAGTCTACACGAATGGATGAAAATGATTTAAAAATGATTTACAAAGTTATCACTAGTGATAGATGCGTTGGGATGTGAGCTAGATATCCACTGGTTGAGGTTCGCTTGATGCCTGGAGGTGAGCATGAAACAGACAGAAAGCTTCTGCACTTAACTCAAGAGCACATCAAACTACAGTGGTTGCAACTAAAATCTGACCCAAACCCGGTGCACTGGCATTGTAAAGACCCAGCACACGCTTTGAACACTACGAAAACAGGTACCACTAGAATCGGTGCGGTACTTGCGCACGAAAATCAGCGGTCGGATTTCAGCCGCCATCGCTGTACATTGTACAGCAAATGAACTACTGTAAAAGCCATTATTCTAACGAGGCGCATATATACAATAACGATTTCCCAAAATTGACTGGTTTACGTGTACTAAAGGTAACGATTCTCACTCATTCTCAACGCTCAATAGGACAGTATATGTATGGATTTCTGTATAACGATTTCTATTTTAACGACAGATTTCTCCTCGTTAACTCGTTAGAGTTAGCACTTCGTTATATATAAATTATGGCTTTTACAGTACACTGGATCGTTAAATGATTGTACATGTATTCGTACAGCTGAGCTGCAACGAGGACAGGGGTAGATGAGTGAAAGCCTTGCAGTCGCACATCCAACTGCAAATACCCATGACGTAGTTCACCAGATGAGGGTGTGGGTCCTCTTCACTTAGTCGGCACAAAGTCGAGCGAGCTGTATTCCCAGTGCCGAAAGGCGGGTTTACACCCTAGTATGGCAACTTCCCCCGGTCTAAGCACCGAGACGAAGTGAAAACTGTCGTAGGTATATTGGCTGAGGTTTAAAAATATGCATTTCTGCTGCAGGAGTAGTCCTTAAAGGGGGCATGGTCAGTGTTAGTGTTGAGTACAAGAGTCAAAATACACTAATCATTCAGCCAAGAAAGTACGCACGCACACACACACACACACACACACACACACACACACACACACACAAACACACACACACACATACACTCACACATGGTAACATCAATACGTACTGCTTCTGCCGGTCTTCCAGATCGCTCTGTTCCTCTCAGCCTTGCAGTGGACTCACCCTGACCTGTAGAAACCCATACAGCACATCCACAAACTCAAATTGTATCACCTGGTGTAGAACCCTGCTGCATAGGCTGGACCATGTTCACTCTCATACTTGCAGCTTGCTCTAGCAAATTCAATCTGTTTTTTGTATTTCTCATCATTAGAAGGGATCGTTCAGAAAGTGGTGGACATCGCGCAACTGCATCGTAAATAGAATGGGGTTTGTCAACTGACAACCGCTCTATTTAGTTGCTATTCACTCTTGGCGCATGCACTGGATAAAAATTCTTTTCTTAGTGATGTCGAAAAACGGGATACCACTAAAAGCCTTAGCTGTTGGCTATCGAGATGGCCTGGCACTCACATCAGTATAGACAACAGAATGTCAACCCCACTATTTCTTTCACAATGCAGCCTTGACACAGAGGATCTAGTGTACATGTACCATCTGTCATGAGCCCTTTCGAAATACTTCGAGCACTAGTACATCTATTTTTTGAACTCTCTCCTCTTTCTCTCTCTCTTTCTCTCTATTGTTGTTGTTGTTGTTGTTGTTGTTGTTGTTGTTGTTGTTGTTGTTGTTGTTGTTGTTGTTGTTGTTGTTGTTGTTGTTGTTGTTGTTGTTGTTGTTGTTGTTGTTGTTGTTGTTGTTGTTGTTGTTGTTGTTGTTGTTGTTGTTGTTGTTGTTGTTGTTGTTGTTGTTGTTGTTGTTGTTGTTGTTGTTGTTGTTGTTGTTGTTGTTGTTGTTGTTGTTGTTGTTGTTGTTGTTGTTGTTGTTGTTGTTGTTGTTGTTGTTGTTGTTGTTGTTGTTGTTGTTGTTGTTGTTGTTGTTGTTGTTGTTGTTGTTGTTGTTGTTGTTGTTGTTGTTGTTGTTGTTGTTGTTGTTGTTGTTGTTGTTGTTGTTGTTGTTGTTGTTGTTGTTGTTGTTGTTGTTGTTGTTGTTGTTGTTGTTGTTGTTGTTGTTGTTGTTGTTGTTGTTGTTGTTGTTGTTGTTGTTGTTGTTGTTGTTGTTGTTGTTGTTGTTGTTGTTGTTGTTGTTGTTGTTGTTGTTGTTGTTGTTGTTGTTGTTGTTGTTGTTGTTGTTGTTGTTGTTGTTGTTGTTGTTGTTGTTGTTGTTGTTGTTGTGGTTGTTTTTGCTGCTGCTGCTGTTTTTGTTGCCGTTGCTGTTGTTGTTGGTCCGTTGTTGTTGTCGCTGTCGTTGTTGTTGTTGCTGTTGATCTTGTTGTTGGTCATTATGTGAGAGCTTGGACAATTCACTTGTCCAGGCAATAAAGCAGTCTCTCTCTATCTCTCCTCTTTCTCTCTTTCTATCTTCCTCTCTCTCTCTTTCTCTCTTTCTCTCTCTCTCTCTCTATCTATCTATCTATCTAGCTAGCTAGCTATCTATCCGTCTATCTCTCTATCTCTCTCTATCTCTCCTCTCTCATCGTGCATTCGTCACACTCTCATGGAATTTTCTCTTATAAGATTGCATGCTTCACACTCTCATGGAATATTTATTTCCTTTCTTCGTCTTTTTGTGAGAACTTGGACATTCCACTTGTCCACGCAAGAAGGCAACAATGCCCGTTCATTCTGGCGAAGTAAAATAACATAAACCAACCAACCAACAAACCAAGTCTTGCCACAAGTAATCTAATATACGGCCCGTTATGAGCCCATTTGAAATGGATTGAACTGGCGCAATGTTTAATTAAACGCACACGTAAATGCACATGCACTGTTGCTTACCATCAGCTTCTGTTTCTACGCGGGCATCATAGCGGTGGCGAGCGTTCTTGCGTCTCTGATAGCATATCCACACTCCACTGACGATCAGAACCAAGGCGAGCAGACCCACCACTATACCTATGATTAAGCCGACTTGAGAGGTCGATCCGCCACCACCACCACCACCGCCAGTACTGCCTTCGCCTTCGAGGTTTATAAGGCCGGGTGGTGCAGTGGGGTTAGCTCGAGTACTGGGCGGAGAAGACGGCAATCGTTGGGTTGTTGCGGGTGCTGATGTGCTAAACGGACCCGCAGTGGTTGCTGAGTCTGTAGTAGTTCGAATGGACGTTGTACCTGACAATTGGAAAGAAACAAAAGGTCAGGCTCTATTATTCTGGAATCGTTTTTTCAATGCCATGAGCTTTATGAGTACTTCTCCCTGCACGCTAGCTACACGCTCAATTTGGTAACAGAAAGCAAACAATGTCTAGACTGATGCTCTACCAAACATTCTGAATACCAGGAAAAACACACGATTATCATTGCCTAGATCATTGCCAAGGCAGTTGCGGAAGAACAGAGAACTACAACAGGTGAGAAATTATGGAGAATGGAGTAATCACATGCATGGCCAGTAAGAAAGGGATTGGTAGAGGTGTGCTGCAGTAAGAGTCACTTTGGCAATGGGAAAATTGCCCCCCCCCCCCCCTCCACACACGTGTACTTGACACCCCAACAGACAGAGCTTTGGATGGGCGCACATACACACGCCAATGGAAGACCCGTCGAGAACCTTCATCTTCTCAATAGACACGTTTCCTGGGTGTGGGTGGGGTTGTCTTTGGCTGGTGGACTTGTAAAAAGCAAATCATGCTTGTGAGCCTTTCATGGTTTCGGCTCTCCCCACTATAGATTGGAACTCCCAAAAAACACATACACCTGCCTTACTAGTACATGTACACGTACCTTGTGATGTTCCATTTGCAGCCAAGTCATCACCCATCGGCTTGCAGGTAAAGTCTGTTGTGTTGACAGTGCACGTGTAGTTGTCATGGCAATCATGGCTTCCCCGGGCGCACGCATCTCCTACCTTTCCTGCAAGATAAAACATAGTCCACATCGCCAAGATAGTCAATATGCTATTATATGCACGTTTGTATGCATGAGTAAAAAGAGCGCTGTTAGAAAAAACACCCTCCGCAGAACGTTTTCCAGATCCTGATGGTTATGAGAATGAAAGAAACCAAACATACACTCATATAGCATTACCAATTGCTGCCGTCAAGCCGTTGTATTTGTTAAAAGAAGAAAATGTCACACACTGACTCTTTGCATACCCGCTCCGGACAGATCAGTTTGCTGGAATACGCTTAGTGTAAACTCCGCTCCCTCGTGCACCGTATTCATACCGCAACGGACCATTCACAATACATTGTACCACTTTTTTGACGCGAATGGCGACTTGCGACACCTGCGAGGAGCTGCGCCGCGCGACACACGAGTCAGCTTTTTGCACATACAATGTACACGAACATATTTTTCGAGTAGGCGTGGAGAAAGCAATAGACCAATCCCGAAAAGATTGTCTGGGTTCGTGAAAGGGGGCACGCGTGCAAGCCAGCACGTGTGAAGTGCATCGTTTTGTATTCAGTTTGTGTGTGTCAGCTCATGGCGGAGGAGAGAGAGACTTTTGCTCGCCGAGCTGAAGCTAAAGGATTTGATGGAGTCCTGCCAGCAGCTAGTCAAAGGACCTTCGGTACCTTAGGCAGACCCTGACGGAGTTTGGAGGCCAGATAGCTCTCGGTGAGGAGAGAAACATTCGCGTGGCGATCGACTCTCCGTTAAAAATGCAAGCTACATAGCGCCGACATACTGCAACAGGTACGATTTCAGCTAACATCTCGATCTGCTGCTTCACAAAGTTCAACTATTTACAAGTCCTGACTGTTGTAGTCTGAAGCTGGAGTCTCATCGCCCACCTACAGGTAGCTTTTGGAGCTGATGGATTTCCCGACTTGGACTCCTTCCGCAAACTCTTGCAACATTACTACAGTGTATGCTGTGTTTCCGCACGCTCGTGTCGACATGTCACCTATACTGTACATGTACCGGGTCGCGGAGGAGCTTGACGACCTCCGCTGACTCCAGGTTCCCGAAATACTGCCGTCGTCTTCGTTGATGTCGCTGGTGACATTCTCCCCTTGCAGGACGTGCACATAGTTGTCGTCCCGGGGGTAAAGACTATGTTGTCTTTCGAAATAGTTCTTCATCACGCTCGCGCGAATGATGTTTCTCATCATGAACTCGTTCCGACGGTGTGACACGGCGATGGTCTTTGGCGGGGCACTGGCTTGGCGAAAACGATATTTTCTTGTGCAATATAACATTGATCGGCTGCAGATGAGTACAGTCACTTCGTGGTTGGTCCTATAGGAGGGCAGCTGCCAGGAAAGAGGCAGGACTCATCGAAGACGAAGCGCTCGCAACAAACAATAGCACTCGAAATATCTCGTAAGATTTAGGGCCTATCACTTTGAGCCACAGCTCACACAGCCTTGCCTACTTCATCAAAGTGAGCTCTACATGTTCGTTGACCTCTTCACACTACACAGAAGAGCGAAACAAGGATTATGTCTTAGCATTTCAACTACAACAGCAGACCATTACCAGTGCGAGAGAGAAAGCTACGAAGGGCTTTGCTTTCTGTCGCATCGTCTCTCTTGCATGCAACTAACGAGAAAACCGTGTACTTACCCTCGCATTCACACACGAACTATCAAACACGTCCTGTGCCGCATGCTGATCAGGTAGTGCCATGTATGTGTTGTACAGTGTACTCTCAGTTGACATGCCCCCTTTCGAACCCAGACAATCTTTTCGGGATTGGTCTATTTTATGAGTGCAGTAAAGAATGGACTCGGACTGGTAACTTGTAGTTCCTTGGTCCTTTCTCTTTTGCAATTAAAGGGGAAGTCCGGTGAAAAATTTAAATTTCAGGGTTGGTAGAGTTTCGGGCGCTGAGTCGAATGGTGTTGGTCCCACGTGTCTCCGACAAAGCGTTCTCGAGATATTTCCGTTCGAAAAACTGAGTTTCGGGGGCTGCGCCATGACGTCATGCGGCCGCGCCACACCCTCTGCAACGTCATAGCGTGCAGCTAGGTCAAAAGGAGTGCGTGAAAGCAATAGTGTCAGTGCTATTTCAAATGATTTGGCGACTGATATTAGGTGGTGCAAGCGACCCCGAAGACCTGTAACTCCTTGTGAGAGTGAGGATGCAGCCATGGCTGACCTTCATGAGTTCGGTCTGGGGCTGAGAACCTCGGTATTTAGCTGAAGAAATGGCCGCGCGGGCCCGTCAAGAGTGAGCGTTACTGAGTTTCCGACTGATGAAGAAGCAGCAGCTATTGCAGACGAGGCTGATGAATTATCAGATCGCTGGAGAGCAGGGTCGCCAAAATGGAGAAGAGTGATGCGAGTGCTCTAAATGTTGTTCCATACCGATTAGATTCGTTTAGACTCCAGTGGCCTGCCACATGGTGATGTTTTGGTGCGAACTTGGAATATTTCGGACTCCTCATTTGGAGAACAGTGCAGGCTCTTTGAACCACGGGCACGACTCTTCGCTCGCAACGCTATGGAATCTGACAGTTCTAGGTCCGGGAGCTGTTCCCTGTTTTGTCACTTCAACGGTCACGGTTGTGCACTCATCGCTGTAGCATAAAATAATGAGGCGGGAGCGGAAAACTAAAATTTTCTTTCTCAAAGCACAATCACCGGCACCGGCAAGGAGAAACGCACGTTCTCTGACTACATGACTGTACAATACGACTGATACGAGTGTACTCGTAGTACATGACAAGTCCGTGTGTTGACTAGTTTTCTGAGTCTTGTGTCAGTTGTGACTCGAGTCTTGTTGTAGATACTACCCCAGCACGGCAGTGCGGGAGTACATGACTGTAGTTCCGTCTGTGATGAGTTTGTTGACTGCACCATGTACCACAGCTAGATAACACACTGCACGCACTGCATGCACGCAGCGCACAGCGCGTAGAGGCTGACGGAAAAAGTCCAACTCGGAAACGGCTAAAATACGGTATAACCTCGAGGTTTACCGAGCTGAAAATCACAGGGTATGTAGTGTTTGTAACACTGAATCGAATGGTCTTGGTCCGAAGAAGCTGCGACAAACAGTTCCCCAATCGAACGCGCTCCGAATATGGCCATTTTTGTACACAACTAGATGGTGTGGCTACCTGGCTGCACGCTGTGACGTCATCACCTGGATCTGGGTGATGCGCGCTCAAATTCGCACTTGTTCGATTGGGCGTATCTGACGAACCATAAGCCGCAGCCGCAGGCTCCTCGGACAAAGACCATTCGACTCAGCGACTCGAACTCTACGGACTGTGAAATTTAAATTTTTCACCGGACTTCCCCTTTAAGAATGCAATAGATTTAGAATACATTACCTTTGACACATATAAATGGACTGTGAATGTCACACTTGACCGACAGGAGGTGAACACCAGGGGATAAGGTGTACGCCAAGCAGAAATCCACCCCACACCGCCCAGTAGTTTGGAGCAGGGCGCTGGCAATGCGATCGCCACTCTTCGTCGATGAATAGAGAAACCCGCATCCAGTCCTCACGGGAATGTACAGCAGACGACGTCCGTGAATAGAGAGTACAGGCGTGTCAAATTCACGCACGCATGAACGTATCGCAGGAGTGAAATGCGTGAGAAGCTCCGCACCCTGGTTTTGGCAGTGCGTTGAGGCCTCTGGATACGTCTTGGCACTGCTGTGGTAGTGCAAGGTACGTCCAGCGCACGGTCGTGTTGCTGTTCTTGCTAAGCATAAGACAACATTCAATGTAATAGGACACCAGATGTTTTGAAGTAGCTGCCACGGAGTTGCGCACACTGCCCTAAGAGACAACTAACATGCCTTGAAATTGACTGGTTACAGTCATATAAATCCAGGAGCGTAGCCCGCATGCTAAAGATATGAAACCACTCTTGGTGTGAGCTGAGGCCCCAAAAAAGGTCCAAAATCCATCAGTTCAGAGGAGAGGCAAGGCAAATTCAATAGGCATCTGTTCGTAATACATGACGCATGTTGTACGAGACCAAAAAACACTCTGTGCAGCCAAACAGCAAAGGTCAGCGCATCATCTAGTCCAAAATGGAATAACTATCAAAATCATCCAACTAGCCATACCGTCAGTAATATTCACTAGTAGTCAATACGTACCGGTACCGATGGTCACGTGGATCACAAAGGGGATGGTGAATCCGAGCGAAATGGTGCTTCCACCAAACTCTATATCCCAGTGCAGACGTATTTCATATGATCCCGTGGTGAATAGGCCGAATTTCTTTACGTCCGTCGCCAATTCCTCCGTTGTCCACTTGCAGTGCGAAAGTGAGGTTGCTTGAGCATCGTCTGAGCACCTCAGATCGTACACTCTGTAGTCTGACTTTAAGTTCAAGTGCGGGGTGGTGCTGCTGGTCGCGTTGGATGTGCACCGGGTCTTACGTGTGCGTGTGGGAGGTGAGGAGGGAGCGGCTGGTTTAACTAGTAGCTCCACAGCCATGGACAGGTTCGTAGCGGGGACGATGCGGTAGATGCGACTTCCATTCGCGAACATATCTTTCGTCCACTCTTTCACTGAAGTGTTGAGATGTGGAAACAACAAGAAGATATTTATAGTGAATTAGATGCACTCAAAACACATTCATTCCTAAAACAAAGCAGGCTCACAGCTGCGCCAGACAAAGATGTTGCATCAATATCCTGATGATGACCAGTGGGCAAAATATCACCAGCTGCTTTATTCGGTGCAAATAAGAGCATGTTTGTGGAGTGCAGGAGTGTTCGAGGGCAGGTACTACTCTGCAGTGTTGTTTGCGAGTTCTGAGTAAACATAATCGATTAGAGAGCGTTAAAATCTCCGTAATATCTCTCATAACTTAAACTGCAGTACTACTGACCTACATGTATTGTATTTTATTTTATTGTTTTACTTGGGCATTCCCAACAGACCCTAAGGTCTCCTTACGGGGTGCCCAATGTACATAATCGTTGCACATCAAAGCATCATTTTTTTGATTTTTGTATTGGTGTTATTTCACTTTTACTGCCTTTCTTCATCACCCAGTACATAATCTGCTATCAATAGGCTCTGACCGTTGGGGTATCCCAGAAAAAAATGCATAATAAATGTACATGTAAACAGCAGATCCTGATGACAATAGTGCTCTGGTCTGTCCGCATCCAATCCTCTTTCCCAGTATTCCCTCCGCTGTCTGTTTACAAATTTTCGCTCGCGTTCCCTGTTGTGTGTATCTGTTATGTCCCTACAGTGCGATTTCCTTTCCACTTACTTGGATCTAGTGATGAATTGGACGTTGCATTTATGAGCTCCAGAAACTGTTGCTTGATCACGTCTTGCGCAGTAGCATTGCCTGACGGGGTGTGAGATCGTACGACAAACACTCTCTTCTGTCCATCATCCGCGATCGACTCTCGGATCAGAGTGCTACGATTGGCTCCTGGGTATGTCTGCTCGACACGCCAAGGCTCGGTGGTGGAGTTGCGCACCATGACCATGACGTCATGTATGACGCTGGGATCAGAGGAGAGGTTCCGAGTCAAATCCACAACACCTGGCAGCAAAGGCAAGGGCAGGGCCACAACTCTCAAGAGTCTCAACAGAATAATTATGTGAAAACATCAACCATCATGGTTGACCTAAGAAAACCTGCTCATGCCTGACCCACCCAATAAATGGGCAGTCCAGAGAATGTGTTTAGGAATGGGTCTCGCGCTATTCCGCCGACGACTTAACACTTGACTGACTCACGACTGCCATCCAGAGAACACGAGAAGTCCATCGAACCTTCGATTCGGCAAACCTGCAAGAAAGCACCACTCCCTGCTCAATACACAATGTTTCGGGGAATTCACCCCTCATCAGTTGAGCTTGAGTAGGCTGAGTAAGATTGTGCCTGAAGAGCACCACCACTCCATTTCGTAATCCAGAGATTGCTACACGAACACTGTATTTGTTCTCTTCTTCAAATACAGGCAATCACGACATCAGTATTGGGAAGACATCGACTGTCAATGAAAAATAAACAAAGAGAAACAAACTAACAAGGACACCTGTACGTGTATCATGCTTACATGTGTCGTTATCTCGGATGTAGAAGGGCTTGCACTCGCACGTGTACGATGCATGTGTATTGACACATTGCTCCTGAGATGATGTGCACAAACTGGCCGTTCCCGTGTACTTTTTACATTCGTCGATATCTAGCGATGCAGGTTGACAGATATATGGATGTACACGGATCAGAAATAACTCTCCGTCTAGCTCACATAACGCAATGAAATGCAGACTGTTGAAAAATAATTCAACGGACAGCATATTTGTATTTTTGCATGACACGGCACGCGAAAGACCAAAATTAGTACAGGTATATTGCCCCAAAAAAACTGTAGAACTTGACGCGATTCAATGAATATGCAACTGATTATGATCGCCTAACATCTTAACACCATTCTTGCCTTCCAGATATCATACAATCGCACGACTCCCTTTGAGGAGAATACCCGATGCTGCATTGATCATGACCATGCTGCTCACAACACACGCATCGGGTTGGACATCTTACTTCGTGTAAAATCCACTCACAACCATGTACAGTAGTGGACAGTGTTGGTTAGTAGCTACCGGTGAAGTACTGCCGTTTTAGCCACAACGTTTATACTTAGCATAAAAGAAAGTAAACCCTGAAACAGCGGCAGTCACTCAAGAGTACACATTGTCTACCTGTATTTCCTTACCCAGCTCACAGATAATCATCTCCACCTGGACACAGGGCACAGCCATTAGTGTGTTATCCGGAGCTCCTAACACAGCGCACTCCGCTCCGACTCGCTGCGGTCCTAGTCCGGCCCGCCAGTTTCGGGAGCCGGTATTGAACTCGGTGCCGTCTGCCCATCGCCATGTTCCATCTTTACTCTGGAAGGGTACACCGGTGAAAGATACTGGATGGTACGAGCCTAATGTAACTACCGTATTATCTCTATTATAAGCACGGTCCTTTATTTTTTTTCAATGTACGTCCGCCCGTGCTATTATTGGAGACGTTCCTTTGTTGGAGACTGTTCCATTATTATTTCAACCTCATTTCAGAGGCTTGTTGCCATGCCAAATTCATGTCAGACACACACATTTCAGGGTTTCTTCGCCGGTACAGATAATGAATTTACACAGTGTGCTTATAATGGAGACAGAGCACTTTATTTTTTGAATGCCGCCCCAAGGTGTTCTATTATTGGAGACGTGCTATTATTGGAGACTGCGCTTATATTAGAGATAATACGATACATGACTTTATTATAAAGAAGAGCAACGCACAATAGAAAGTACAGTTCGCACGTCCGTGTTGCAACCGGCTATACAATTGCACTGAGAAACACAATACGTTACTAGTTATGACTAAGAGAGAAAGTAGAGAAAGTTGAAACGCAACCACAATAGGACCTTTTTATTAACATACTCGTGTGGAAACATCGGCGTATGATGAGGTGCTAGTACGTTATCAGACCGGTAAGGTAAAGTGATAGGAACGCTGAAAGCCGAAGTCGTAATATCACTATCCAGTACAATGATTTTCTCAGTTTGCCCCCATCGTGTGCCTGTACAGAAAGCTGGTAAAAAGTTCGGTAGCGCGATTAAGACTTGTGTACTTGTACAGTGTGCTCGCACAACCAGAACTGTGGCCATTATTAATTTTAATATCAAAAACAGGACACATCGTAGAATGGGTTGCACGCCCGCCGCTCATATCCGTGAAATCTACTAACACACTGTTGAGCTTTTCTTGGCCAGACTGATAATAAGCAGTCCACTAGGGCGATGGCTTGAAATTCTCAGCCTTGAATATTTTTTCACTGCTATTTCGGTTTACGCATCGTTCTAAAGGGGACCATGGATCTACATGTATAACATGTAGCCAGCCCATAAAGCAAGCGGTGTTCTTACCCGCGACAAACCAATATAGGCTTGCCAAGATGTGTCCCGCTCAAAGGACTTCTGTACTGCAAAGAGCTGAAGATGTGGTAGCTTGGGCATGACCAAGGTTCCGTTGCGCGTCGAGCAGTAACGAAGGCCCTGCTCAAATGTGTAGCCGCCATTCTTACCCGCGTAGAACACTTCCAGCAATTCTTGAATATGCAGTGAAATCACAGACGGAAAATAGAAAGCAACGGAATTCTTACCCGCGACAAACCAATATAGGCTTGCCAAGATGTGTCCCGCTCAAAGGACTTCTGTACTGCAAAGAGCTGAAGATGTGGTAGCTTGGGCATGACCAAGGTTCCGTTGCGCGTCGAGCAGTAACGAAGGCCCTGCTCGAATGTGTAGCCGCCATTCTTACCCGCGTAGAACACTTCCAGCAATTCTTGAATATGCAGTGAAATCACAGACGGAAAATAGAAAGCAACGGAATTTTTTGGAGAAAGGACAGATAAGTTACTAGTTATGAATAACAGTCCAAGGAGGAAAGATTATTTTTACTTATAATATTGGCTGACCAACCATCCGAGTTTAAATAAAAAAATCCTCAGACTTTTCCCTTTTCCATTCTCTCAACGAGTGAATACAAATATTTTGAATTTTGTGCTTTCATCATCAGGAAGCTATGAAGCATGAATATTTTTGTTTATCCCCCGTGACCCTATTTCGGGGCATTATCGGCTTAGTGTTACAGTGTGCTGTGTAGCAGCATGTTGGTTGGTATATTTTATTTTACTTCGCCAGAATGAACAGGCATTGCTGCCTTCTTGTCTGGACAAGTGGATTGTCCAAGCTCTCACAAAAAGACGAAGAAGGGAAAGAACTATAACATGACAGTGTGAAGCATGCAATCTTAAAAGAGAAAATTCCATGAGAGTGTGACGCATATGTTGAGACCTTACTTGGCTGCGCTTGACTCTGACTGCGCACTTGGTACACTAAAGTCAGCAAATGCAGCGCTACTAAGAAACATGATGAAGAATAGATGAAATTTGCCATTGCTACACAGAAAAGCAGTCCGCAGAACCTTCGACTGGCTTGGGGTCCACAACCTACTGACTCTCTCTCTTGAACAGATTGACTCAAAGAGATGGACTGAGGCGACAGCGAGCTCCGACGTCGGAACTGTGTGTCAAGTCTCCCCCAAAGCCCACCATTTATTGCTGTGGGACTCGACCGATTGGTTTGATATTATCAAGTTTACGTTTCCCACTTGTCACTGGTCGAACTGGACGTGGGAGCCTTCACCAACTTGCCAATGCGGCATAACTAACGGTACGGTCGCATACCATCACCTAGAGTGATATACAATCACGCGATGGTCATGCACGCACTGGTCTACGGACCTCCACATAGTCCCATTGCAACTCCGTAGTTGAATGGCTACAGCAAATGGAATTTCTACCATGCTGAATGTTGCCATACGAGAAAAAGACGGCATAACGCACAGCCCTCTTTTTTTAGTGTAACGGAAGAGTGAAGTATTGTTGATCTTCTTATCACATGTACACAGATGTGTTAACTGTTCACACGTGAATTGTGCTGTTAAATTAAACAATCCTCAACCTCTTCATGATTCTAACACTTCCAGCAGCCAGCTGCTTTCGTCATCACCATAACTATATCGGCATAAGCCGATATCTGCGCGCGACGACACGGTCCAAGAACTGCCTGTTTTGCAACCTGCTATTTGTCAGGAGTCTCAGAGAATGGCCTAGAGCCATCGTGAACGTTCCTATCTGCACCAGATGTGAGCAGACACTCCATCTACATCTACATGTAAAGTGCGTCAAGATACAGAAACTTCACATAATCCTCAGCTACGTTGTACATGTACATGTATAGGGCCTACCCAAAGTTGTCAATTCTTCGCGTTCCGGGTGGCACCTCTCTCACTGTCACACTGTGAGCGGCTGGAGGATGCGGTACATGACAGGCACACTAAAAGTAAAACGGTTCTAATCTAGATATGAGCTAAGTCTGTGTTCGTATGGTACCTTTAAAGGCCATCCCACTTTTTCAGGACTTGCTAGGTACGCTGTATTGTCAGGTACTCAGTACTAGTACATGTAACCCAATGCACACTGCCTTTTAATAGCGTGCAGCATATTCGCACTTCAAGTCTATTTTTTCAGCAACTGTCTTGCAGCAGGGTGTGTTGTCAGTGGCCCTGGGCCAGATTGAGTTGTGGAAGAGCTGCAAAACTGCCGATTTTCAGCTCCCTCCGCACACAGAGGAGAGAGGTGCGGAATGCAACCCAAGAGTTTCAATCTTACCAACAGCGAGAAGTGGGTCTGAAAGGTCCGACAGCCTTCAAGTCACCAGCCGTACAACTTCCACGAGCTAACACGATGCTCCAAGGGGACGGCACTCCAACTAGATAGGCATACATCATCCCATTGATGACGCATGGGAGATGGGAACAAGGCCAACAAGCGGATTATTCTTAGCGACAGGGTCGACTTCTGGTCTTGATAATTAATTGCGGAATAAATGGCTTGGTGAAATGTGTACAGATATCCGTACTTGTATAAGCATCTGGCCTAAAGGGTTCAGGGAGGGCAGAGTCCAATAGTGTACAGGCTGAAATGATTTCCATGTTTTGGGTTTACAAGTGCCCATTGAGGCATTGACTCCAATCTTTTAAGAAAATATTTAATGAGGAGAAAGAGGGCGTGGAGACCTAGACTAGTGCACCCGGCCGACTAGTGGTCGCGGATTCATAGTGAACTGTGCCCATGCTAAAGGCGCAAGGCGCAATGTACCCTTACTAAAGGCGCAATTGCTGTGCTGTGGTGCTGTGTACAATGTCAGTACATGACGTATTGCGTTACCGAGGGATCAGAGGCTTGAGATCAGAAACCATCATCAACATCAGTGTATGGAAGAAAGGTGACCAAGAGAGTTTGATTTCCAGGTATTGAAGCTGGAAAAGGGGGGGCTTCCCTAACACCACATGCGTTGTAAGTTGACCAACAGGCGTTGCAGTATGCTCGCTCAGCGCAGTGCTCCCATATTATGGGCCATAATCACACCGTACATGTAATAGGCCGTGACATTAGATGATCGAGGAATCGCTCATGCTCCGAAGTACTGTACAAGGACCATGATAGATTGGTCAGTTGCGAAGGATGGACCTTGGCCTCACCTGGTCCCCTGTTACATCTCAATACCCCTCCCCCACGCCTCGGGAGTTTCATACCTGACATGTACTGCTAGGAACCTCCGCATACAGCTTCCTCGTGCTGTGTCCATGAACTACTGTTGATTATTGTCAAGTGTCAGGATGAACAATTATGGCGGTGGCGTAGATCGCACTCTTCTTGTGTACATCACATTGAGGGCCATACGACCTACTTCAATATTTCTATCACTCGCTTTCCAACAAGGTGACAACATCTGGTCCCGCATACCAAACTAATTTTACGTTCGCTTCTGTATCGGAACTGCTTCTTCCAACTACATACTAGAATCTAAGATTGTACACCGTAGTCGTGCATTGCCCCTTCAGTAGTCACGCTAATCCTTCCCCTTGTGCACACATCACTGCGTAAACCGTTTTACCACCGAAGTATTTAATGCCAAGCCCTTCCTTCCACTGCGGTGAAGGTAAGCCAAGCAAAATCCATACATGTAATGTTTTTCAAGCAAGAAGCAAAGTGGCTTGTTTCTCTCACTTCACCGTTCTCAAATTATGTTTGTCTCACCCGGTTTTCCATCTATCAAGCATTTTTTTTCTTGCTCGTACCACATGGAATGCCTATCATCAACATTCCCCATTCCCTGTTGATATAGCGCTATATCCCATACATTGGAAAGCAGCACCACCTGTTTGTGCAGCGACATGAACTGAAATTCAGTGACAACTATAATTATTCGTCGCGCTTGAAGTTGATGCCTCTAAAAACACTTGTATTACTTTGTCATGGGCTCTGCTGGCATCGACCGGTGAGCAGATATCATAATGACTTTAGCCTACTTGTGGCATGTTTGCATGGAAGCGACCAGTGGGCCGCTGAAGAGTCACAGCCCATGTTGCGAACGGATTGGGAGGACAACAGAGTGAGAATGGGCGCAGGTAGCCAACCATGAAAGGCAGTACAAAAAAAACAATCTACATGTACTTGTACATGTACCGCGAGATATATTCCGGATCGGAGCCTCAGATCAGAGGCTTATCTGATAATCATCATGATTCATGACCATGGTCCCCCCAAAAAGTAAGTACATTTCCAACACTCACCTGGTCACTACACTGCAACAGAACTACATTGTAGGAGCCGTAAAATACCCGTAGTTTACGACTTCTGGCGCAGATATCTGTGCACGTGTACATGAGGAGGTATATTATGGCACCGCAGGCCGCGCACCTGAGGGCCTTTCTGGAAGCCTTACTCGATCGGATAGAGCGAAACTGAGCACCCTGGGATGCGAGCAGTTTTTAGTACTCCCGGGTCCAAAATCTCACCACCAGGCCGGGCTGACCAAAACGTCTGCCGGGTCTGCAGCCTACAAACGTGGATCTGCCGACACTGTGCTGTCGACGACATGTCCGGCAAGGGGTCCTTGCGTGAAAGCAAGGAACGCTTTTTTTTTAGAAAGGAAGCTTCTTCTCCAAAATTTAAAAAATTTTGAAAATTATTCCTTCTGATAATATCATCGCGTTCTTGACCTCGAAGCTGACTGCTGAATGCGATTAGGAAAGAAGATTCCTGAAGATGCACCAGACTGATTCTGGCAAGCCGTCTGTCGTCTGGATATGCACTGTTGTTCGTCATGGTCAGCAATCTTCTACGTTCGTCCTTTCGTTTTCCTGACCACGATGGTGACAAGCAGCTCTCATGCTCAGGTTAGTGCTACTTGTATGTCTGGGCACACAACACATCTGAGATGCACCCACTGACGTTATCGTACTGAAGAATGCAGCAAGGGTTCCTCGGATTCTCTTGATTTCGGAACAAATTTCCTTCGCTTTCACCCTCTCCGTCTCTTCCCCATGCCCTCCATGCTTGCACGATCGAGTCTACATTTCAAAATGTTGTTTTTACTTTGGCAGTGCGTTCGATAACGTTAGGATAGTCTAAGTTAGGTGTTCTTCTCTTCAG